TAGTAATAAAATTGGGAATTCACTTGATGTAATAGGTAAAAGTGTAAAACTATACTTAATAGCTAAAATAATTCTGTTGTTACCCTATTCCTCCCACAATTGATGTGAGATCCTTTTTTTTTAAAAAAAATTAATTTAAAAAAACTAATATCCTAAAATTAGAAATTCACTTGATATAAAAGGTAAAACTATACTTAATAGCTTAAAATAATTCTTTGTTAATATATATCCTATTCCTCTCTAAATTGATGTGAGATCCTTTTTTAAAAATAATTAATTCCAGAACTAATATCTTTCTATTTTAGTAATAAAATTAAGAAATTCACTTGATATAATAGGTAAAACTATACTTAATAGCTCAAAATAGTTCTTTGTTAATATATATCCTATTCCTCTCTCAATTGATGTGAGATCCTTTTTTAGAAAAATAATTTTATAGGACTAATAACCTTCTATTCAACAATGAAATAATTTACACAAATTTCAGAAGATTTTATTTTTCTCTTATATCATGTGCTTAACACTTTCACATAAATCAGAAATAAAAAAATAACTTTACATATTCACGATAAATTCACAATATTGACCGAAAGAAAATAACCTTTATAAGTAGGCAAGCAGATCCTAAATTTTCTAAAAGGAAAATAACAAAATAAAAGGCAATTATAGTAAAGTAAATGAAGAGTCAAATAAATCCACTCATAATTGGTCTTAAAAAGACAGCGCGTGAATTACAAAGCCGCCGTAATATGAATATTGAAAAAGAAAAGTAGAAAGTAGGTACACGCGTGTTTATTCCGTCCAAAACATTATCCACAACTCAGCCCATCCAACAAATCCTATTCAGCATCTTACGTGTCATCCACCGTTAGATTCTTCCACGTGTCACTTTACCCATTATCGCAGCCGTTCCCACTTGCCGTAAAACGAACCTTCCCGATTTTATGCCCCGTCACGCATTTTATCCAAAACTCCTCACGTGACTCCAGCTCACTCCACAAACAAGCGAGTGTAATCGACACGTGTTTTTTTCTTTTTATAGAATAATATATATAGTGGGAGCTTCATTTTCATATTTTTATATATATAAAATTATTATATTAAGGAAGTAGTAAAAACGAATATTGATTTCTCTTGTTCGTATTCATATACAACAAGCTTTTAGATATTTTTTGTTTTTGGACCAACTCTTTGGGTTTTCAACTATGGTTCAATTGATGAGAACAACCATGGAAGAGTCGCCGGAGTTGCAGTGGCATAAAGGGAAGAACGCGGCGGTGAAGCTCGAATTTGAAGATGCTTTAGATGAAGCATACGGTCCACTCAACAAGCGATCTAAACTTTCTTCTTCTTCTCTACAAGTATGTTCTCTTCTTTTTTGCTGATTTGATTTTCTGGAGATTCTGTGTTTGGGAAATCAATTACAAAAAGGATGATAAGATTAAGGATTTAAGTTAATTAATTAATACTTATCAATTATGGTAGATTATCAATTAATGCTTATTAAACAGAGTTACTTTCCTGTTTAGTGACTTGATGGTGTTAATAACTCTTAAACTCAAAAGATGTGTATAAATATAGAAAGTTGTAGAAGATCTATGAGGGAAGATTTTTCATATAAAAAGGAGTTTTGCTTATTGATGGATTATTTAGAGCTAGTTTTGAGTGATTTCTATGAAGTTTATTGTATGATTTGCTTAATTGAATTGGGGATCTTTTTTCCTACTGCAGCAATTGGTTGTAGGAGCTGATGGTTTTCCAGTAGCGCCTTCACAGTATAACCCGCTTGATGAGCCCAGTCCGTTGGGTTTGAGGCTAAGGAAGAGCCCATCACTGTTGGATTTGATCCAGATGAAGCTTTCTCAGGGGAACAACGCCAAGGTAGGAAATCAAGGGAAGAAGGAGCAGAAGGGGAACTCTGGAACACTTGAAAAACTCAAGGCTTCGAACTTTCCTGCCACAGTTCTGAGAATTGGGAGCTGGGAGGTAATATTGATGTTTTAGTTTAGCTGGTTTGCGAGCTATTGCATAGGAGCAGGGGTTTTACCTGTGCGCACCCTTTTAGGTAGCGGCTGCGGGTTTCCCTTGTCATAAAAAAAAATAATAAAAAAAGTGTAATTTGTGATCTTAGTGTGTAAATTGAAGTTTGGAAGTGCTAGAACTGATTTGGAATTGTGTTGTTGTCTGCAGTACAAGTCAAGATATGAAGGGGATCTAGTGGCAAAATGTTACTTTGCGAAGCATAAACTTGTTTGGGAAGTCCTTGACGGTGGTCTCAAGAATAAGATCGAAATCCAGTGGTCAGATATTATGGGTTTGAAGGCAAATTACCCTGATGATGGACCTGGAACTTTAGATGTAGTGGTAAGTGGTGATGGACCATCTCTTTTGTTGTTGTCATTGTGAAACTGTTTCCTGCTACTGAATTGGCGAAAGTACTAAAGGATTCTTGTATTGCAGCTTTCAAGACAACCTCTTTTCTTCAGGGAGACGAATCCACAACCTAGGAAGCACACTCTTTGGCAAGCAACATCTGATTTTACTGGAGGACAAGCTAGCATGCAAAAGTATGTTTCTTGTCTTATTTTACTTGTTCGCAATTTGTCTTTGCTCTGTTAATGGGGATGCCAATTCCCTAAGTACTCATCTGTTGCCATTTTTTAATAACCGTGGTGTACGGCCTTCTTGCTACCTCCCAGGCCCCCATCAAGTGCTCATCTGCTGCCTAAGATATAATTATGTATTCTGGGTTGCTTGATACTTCCCACTAACTCTGTCCCCAAGACTTGGACAAATAGGAAGAAATTACCTAGTGTTTTTGCCTCAACTTAGATTTAAATCTGATACCTCGTGATTTCCAACCCTCTTAATACACTAGACCACACCCTTGCCTACCTAATCTTTTGCTTATTCTACCCGTTTGTTAGAAGTGTCAAGATTGAAAAAAGGTAATATATGTTCTCCAATATTTGACGTTGGCTAAAGTGAATTCAATGACACTGAAAGGTAATATATTTTCTCCAATATTTGATGGTTTAGGGTCCCCTTTCTGTAAAAATAAAATAATAAATTGGTCTTGGAATCCGCCCTCCTTGAGGTCGGGAAAAACCTCAGCTGCAGCCCCTTCACCCCCAATTTTCGAGGCAGCAGTAGTCCAGATTGGCTTTATGTCATTTACTTTTAAGTAGTTGTGTGAACTTGACATAATAGTACTGCTGTTTTTATGCATGCTTAATAAGGTGTTAGACTTGGACCTATTTATGCTCGCAGGTCTTTCATTTCCTTGATTATTATGTCGATATGGTTCAGTTTGATGTTAAAACTCTCCTCCCTTTTTAATTGTTTTTTGTTTGTTTGTAGGCGACATTACTTACAGATTCCACAAGGCTTGTTAGGAAAGCATTTTGAAAAGCTTATTCAGTGTGATCCCCGTCTTAATTTCCTAAGTCAACAACCAGAGATTACACTAGATTCTCCACATTTTGAATCCAGAATTTCAGTATTTGAAGACCCAAATGTGTCTGAGTCGGAATTTAATCTGAATAATGAGAGAAGCCCCCCCTTTCTCAACTTGCATGGTGCCGCTTCACCTTCAGGAGCTCATTGTTCTTCTTCAAACGGAGAGCAAGACTTTTTTGTTAGTAGACGATTGGAAAACATTCGTCCAGAAACACCTTCACCAAGCTCAGGTAATTATATATTAATGCTGGTCTGCTTAGGACTCTTGAGTTTTTCGAGAAGTTCGATTCTTCTGCTTGGTGCATCTTATTCATTTCTTCTTTATTTTTCTTAATTTTATGTTGCATGCTGGAAAGAGCATTGTGGTGGTTATAGACATTACATTCCTTTTCTGCTGCCTACAGTTTTCATTGGTTTCTTGATATTAGAATTTAAGCATATTCGACAGATCCAAATTACTACAGTTGAGGCCTTACTGGGCATAACATAATCATCATATGGTCCAACTGATCCCGAATCAGTTTAATTATTTTTCCAAATATTTATGTCATTATTAAGGCTTAGTATTTGTGAATTGTCTTATAATCTGCTGTACTGTCATTTAACCTGCAGTGATGGATACAAGGGAAATTCAAGATGTCAGTAGAGATATGGAGCAATTGAAAGGCCTCGGCAACCTAGATCAGATCCGAGTGCCTGGTCTTCATCCTTCCATGTCAATGAAAGATTTAGTGAGCCACTTTGAACAACGTTTTTCTGAGCAGGGAACGTCCGAAGTTATATGCCTGTCCAGTGATGAACGCCAAAGCTTGGAGATTCTGGAAGAGATCTCGAGGTGCTTGTTTAGTGATACTCAAAATATGCCAGCATCCGATGAGAAATCCCTCATGACAAGGGTCAATTCTCTGTGCTGTCTTCTTCAGAAGGATCCCGCAACAGCTCATAAGAGTGAGAATTATGATGATGTTGCAGTTGGAGGTAAGAGAACTGATGAACTGATCAGTTTCTTTCCCGGAGATCCTTCTACATCAGAGGATAAATCAAATGATCCAGCTCCATCAATGTCAAGAAAAGACTCGATAGGGGATCTGTTGCTGAATCTGCCTAGAATCGCATCGTTGCCTCACTTTCTGTTCAATATCTATGAAGATTCCGACCACCCAGCTAGATAGAATCTGCTTAGTTTATCATCATCCATAAAAGGATTGCCTAGTTGCTTTTGTATATAGCATGCATGGCGCCCTCTAAGACACTGCTTAGCTACAGTGTCCAGATGTTGTGCAGGTAGTATATGTATATAGTCATCTTTTATGTTAGTTTGTGCAATAGACAGTATTCTTCAAGCGCTCCGAATAGTTTTTTAATGACATTTACTTCATTTTTTGTAAAAATTTTACCAAAAGATACCTCTTAAACTGGTCTCTAACAACTTATCCTTTCAAATGTTGATCGCAAGATTTCGAATCTACTTTGCGATTTCAAATGGCCTAGTGCTGGTAACATTGTTAAGAGGCAGTGACAAGGCCAAATGCAAGAAGGTGTGACGAATAGTAGATCAAATAAAAGGAACTACTAACATCTTACACACGGAGTATAGCTTTTAAACAGTAAATAATATTCAGATATATATTTTACATCTTGAAAGCACAACAACAACCCTTCTTCTATATCTGTCCTATTATTGTCTAACGAAATCTACAAAAGAATAAACAAGATGACTGATTAAGAATCATCTGTACCGTCATCATCAATGTCATCGTTATCCTGATACATGTCCATAAGCACATTTATCTGGCTTTGCAACATAGCATTTTGCCTCTCTACATCGGCACGCTTGCTTCTTTCTTCTAGCAGCTGTATTTGCAGATGCTCCAGGCATTGAGCATCTGCTTCCAACTGTTCGTTCAGACCATCTATTTCACGATCCTGCAGCATTGTCATATGATTAGTGTTTCTGTTGAATTTAAACTGAGCAAGACGTAAACTTGAAGACATTTAAAGAGGTTAGCCAAAACAGAACATGTAGATTAGAAGAAAGCAAACAAATGGTAATTTTGAGGACATCACCTTTCTATTCATTTCCTGTAGAGCGATTCTTCGCATACTTTCAACAACATCCACATTTACAAGCTTCCGTCTCTTTCCAGCCAGCCAACCTTTGGGATAACATGCAGCATCAAAGTCTGGTGGGGGTAGCAAAGTTTCAGCTGACGGCCTACGGCCATTTGCATTTGTAACCGGTTCCAATGGTTCAAATAGTGCCTTTCTACGCTCTGAGAGTTCAGTAGAGGGCTGGGATTCCTGCATCTTTTCATCAGCTGGAGACTCTTCTTGCTTTTGAGGTGTTTCATCAGCTGGAGACTCTTCTTGCTTTTGAGGTGTTTCCAAGTTCTTCACACCGGCTACTAGGCGAAGTATTCTCTTAGCATGATAAATGTATAATAAACAAAATATGAATTGTGTGAACTGTGTATTGATTGGGCTTATAGTCATCACTCCATTATCTTTACGGAACATGACATTAAACAGGACTATAATTTCAGAAGTATGTTCTCCAAACAAAATACCAGCACAACTATATTATGTTCAGAAATTGTCTGACTGTTTCAACAACAACAACATACCCAATGTAATCCCACAAGTGGGGTTTGGGAAGGGTAGAGTTTACGCAACCTTACCCCTACCTTGGGAGATAGAGAGACTGTTTCCGATAGACCTTCGACTCAAGGAAAATTGTTGACTGGTTCAAGTTCAAATAGCATGAGCCAGTCTTCTGTACTTAAACAATATACTATTCAGTATGCCAATCAGAGACACTGGTATTATAGCATTTTAATAGGTTCCTTTCCCTTTTCCATTGCTTCTCTTTCCAGTGATTTTTAGAGAATTTGAAAAAAGTGATACAAAGATTTGACAAAGGTCCAAATTTAGAAACTTCCCATATACAAAACTCAAGAGCTCACTAACTACTAATCTTCTCCTGTTGATCAGGGAAGAAACAAGTCTGCCATTTGATGTATCATTCACAAAAAACACTATCAAGAATAGGCGGATCCAGGATTTAACCTTTTCAGGTTCGAGTTTGAGATTCTATCCCAACACATTTGGTTTGACCTCTGTAATTATGGAATGATTATACCGTCTTTATATAGTCTTTAATTATATGTTATATGTAACCTTACTTAAAAAAGGATCTTTTTTCTTTTCAATAAGATAATTCAAAGCTAATGTCTTTCTAAAGTTCCACAAGTCATCTTTCATCTTCTAATCCGTCTCGAAGAATTTCCAAATAAATTAAGGAGTCCACTAAGGGAAAAGGAGCATGTACGTTAAAAAAATACAAAGTCAACAATGCAGGGCCAAATCACTATTTCTAGACAAGATCCGTGTGGAATAGATTAGTCTTACAAAAATAAAATATTGGAACGGTAATCGGCTGTAGCTTATACAGGCAAATTCCTTAACAAATAAGTGAAATTATGCAGAAGAAACATGTAATGTAATGAATTAATCAAACACACTCATCATGACAAAGACAACCAAAATCACTAAAAATCAATACTTTATTAATGGTTAATACTAATAACTAATATTTACAAAAAAAATTGTTTTTTATTCAAAGATCAAACTTCTTTATCAGCTAGAAATGACGTGCCGACAAAGTCGCCACCGAATCTAGCTAACATTGGACAAAACTACCCTCTACCCTCAACCGCTTTTCCAAAAAATAAGGAAATCGTAAAGATTATCCACCGAGTAAACAGAAAATTCAGATAAATATAATTTTTCCCAGAAAACAGTAAAACCATTTTCATGGAAGGAGCGGAGCTAGAGTATAGCTTACGGGTTCACAAATTAAATCAATGGAATATGTACAAATTATTAATTCAGAACTCAATAAGTTAAAAAGGACTACACCCCAAACTCATAAACTTCAAATCCTAGCTCCGCCTCGTGTTTTCTAGTCATTTCCAGAAATAGATCTAGTTGTACCACATGCAACCCACAAATAATCAACCCCATTTTTCAATAAATCACTGTAGATAACATGCAATCAACAAGTTCACTAGTACTAAATTGAATCATAATAAGAAGAAATATTACCAGATCTTTTCCTAGACTTCCATAAAACAGGAGTTGAAGAAACAGGTGAAAATCCCTCAAGAATTCCTTCCATCTTCTGCTGCTGCCTTACCTCCATAAATAACTTTCAAATTTCAAAAACACACACACATAAATAAAGCAAAAAAAAAATTCTTATATCAAAACTTTCTATAAGCTACAAAGAGAAAAGAGATGAGAGAGAGAATTGATAGCGTAAGAGTTGAAGTAAGTTGTAGGTGTAAGCAAGGCCAGAAACGTTTATTACCCAACTCTCTCTTCAGCCCCTTTTTTGTTTTTTGTTTTGACAAGTAAACAAGATATTGTTGGGAAAAAAAAGCATAGAGGGTCACGAATTAATCAACCATTATTTTTAACGGACCTGATTTTGTTGTTTTTTAGTTTTTCACGGTGATGTTGATGTTTGGTTTCTTGTTTTGTGTTCCTATCTATCTCCGGACCCCCACACACCTTATTTTATTCTATTATTATTTCGACATGGGACAAAATGGTACCTGGGTTTTTGTGATTTCTCTCAACACACCCGTCCTCCACGGAGAACAACAATTTAAACTATTCAATGTTTGTGATGGAGCGATAAATATTTTTTTGTATTCGAGTTTTTCAATTCGGCTTTGTTAGCACTTCAGGTTGGACTTCTAGAAATAAGTAGTTTTGAGCAGCAATATCAAAAAGACTCTAAAGATGCTTACGAGTTATATTTAAAAGACAAAAATAAACTTACTCTTATTAATAATGAAAAATTATAGCTAAAAACACTCTGCTAGTAGTCTCTTCATGCTTCTTAGGCCCAAGATGATGATACATTGGTCTTGGGCCTTCACGTTCTCTTTTGCTTATTTTGGATTGTGTATACAAGAATTTGGACTCCCTAAGTTGAAACAAGGGTAATGTAACACACATTTCAACGGGTTGGTCCAGACCACATTATCTCTAACTACCAATACAACATGTAATTTAGAAGGTATGATAAAACTTATAATACAATCACATACTATAGTATTGTAAAATCAATCATTGATGTATGTATGTATTAGGTAGGCTACCCACACCATGAAATGTGATCCTTTTCCGAACCTAGGTTAACTGAGGAAATCAAAACCATACAAAGAACTGAGGAAAGAACAAAATATGATTTCTACTTTTGTAACACTGAAAACCGAATGAGTTAACAGACTGAAAAGGTGCAAGAATCATCACCTTAACTGACGATCTTAATTAACCAAAGGAAAAGAAAGAAGAGATAAAGAGACATGCCATACACAATATTCAAAAAAAATAATCTCATGCACGGGGGATCAAATACCTCCTATTATAGAATCAGTCATACATCAGCTCTTAGTTGTAAGTTCCAGTTTAATATCTCTCTCATTCACAGGGGTTTAAATGCTGAGTTTCTATGTAACTTTACATAATCTCTACCCATGGGGGGGAATCCTATTGTCACCCCACCTTCTATATGTACAGCTCCACGAACTATACCCTAATCCTTTACAAAAAAAATGTTTGGGAGCCCCTTTCATTCTCCTTCACAAAATTTAAGCCCTCTCCCTTCCAAACAATTGAAGTCACATTATGTTTCACCTATAACGCAAGGTATGCAAGGAGGATTTGTTGCTTGATCTTGTGGTGTGATTTTCTGCAGGCACTCGTCATGAAATACATGCCCACAGGGAAGAACAGCAACCGGTGGCGCTATAGCAGGACGAGTAAAAGGGCCTTCAGGATTGAACATCACATTCCTCTTGCATATTTTGCAGTTCTCTGCAACGAGTTGAGCTGGTTCCTCCAATCTTGCTGAAAAATTCCAACACTACATTATTACAATGCTGTTTCAATGCTGTAATATTTAGCAGTAAAATGAGTTCATTATCAATATCTTCACCTAGAAATACGAACAAAATATAGATTTATTCACACTCTTATGACTTGATGTGATGCCTTTCTGAGATATCGATATTATGCTGAAGTTCTTAGATTCCTCCAGTTGTAGGTTGTAGGGGGCTCTAGTTCCAGCTTTGATTTTTTGGTGTCACCCTTGGGGTTTTGTGTACGTGATGTGTTCATATATGTTCACATAAAGTACCAAGAAAATTTTGCACTTGTTATGATGTAATGACTTCTCAACTCAACTACTAAAATATATATCATACGACACAATTGTTAATGTAACTCAGTACTTGTACCCATCCATATTCCAAATCCTATAATTTAGATGACAAATTCAACATATAAATACGTATTGTACTGTAAACCTGCACCTGGCTGTCCATGTAACTTAGGTCCTAGGCCACATGAGGAGAATGGGGCAAAAAACATTGGGGGCAAGTATTAAAACATCCAAAAATTTCACATAACCCATTTTCAAATATTGAATTTTCTAATTTTGGGTTCCCTCTCTTCTCTCTTAGTTCATCCTCTTCTTCCTTCTTTTCTCCTTCCTTAATCTTCTCAGCAATTTCTTCATTATTATGCAGTCCGTCCCAAACAACCAGGAATTATTTTAAATAGCTTGAGAACAATTTCAGGTCGTTTAGTTAAAAAATCAGGAAGTTGTTTAGATATCCTGAGAATTGTTTAAAAGAAGGGGAAATATTTAAACATCCATTAGTTATTTGGAAGTGGAGGATGGGGCAGAGGGGATAGAGTAGGGCGATTTGTGAAAATAAGAAAATAGTGGGGTTTTAAAATAATGTCATTAACTCTAATTAAAAGAAAATAAGAGACATCCTTAACATTTCTCAACACTTGAGGTCTTTGACACTTGATAAAGGACACAAACTCTCTTATAAATTGTTGGCTCTAGTCACGTCTATGGTGTCAAAACTTGTAATTTGTTGAGATACACATGCCACAAGAATAGACACACAACAGTGACACAGTATTGTGACATAAATAACACAGCTACATGAGTGATCAAGTCAGAGTAGGGAGGCAAAACACTGGCATTCACGGATCAACTCATGGAAATGTCAACAAACAATCAAGTTGTACATATATCCGTGGTAAAGAAAGCACCAGAACAGTATCTTGTAGATCACAGACTAACAAACTACATTACAAAAATACAGAAAATATAAGAATGTGAGATAGCTTGAGATACCTTGCAACTTTGCACAGAGAGCAGGAAGAGAAGGAGAAGATGCAGGAACTGGAGCAATAGTGATCGGCCTCGGAGGTGCTATCAGCAGTTGATTACTATGCTGAGTCAATTTTCTCCTCCGCTGAGACGTCGGAGCAGTTGGAGGGGCTTTACTTGGTCTTCTTCTTTTGAGGGAAGTGGGACCATCAAGATTTGAAGCCTGAGGGGCCACATCAACCTTTGATATTGGAACGCCTTGACCTTGGTGTAGCAAATGCAATGAGAGCACAAATCAGGAATCAGCACATTTTGGTTCTAAAATGTGCACGTGTCACCAAAGATGCAAAAGATAGATATTGTCATTGAAATAGCAACACTAGAGAGTTCCTTAGATTGGGTTTTGTGGCATACCAGCATGATATGGGAGTCCACTAACATTAAACTCTGCTGATGAACCAACTTGAGGCAGACCTAGATAACATAAGAACAAGCTCTTCAGATGTTACGTAGAGGTCAGATTACTTTAAATACATAGAAAAGCAAATTGGAGCATCATCAGATATATGAATAAAATTAGTAGATACCCATTGCAAAAGAGGGGTTAAGAAGTTCAGTGGGGTGCATTTTAGGTCCATGATTTTGAGACTGATACGAGTTACCTACAAATGAAAGCCAAAGAAGAAACAGATAATGATAAAAGCACCAAATAAAAAGTATAATGTGAACTCAAGCTCCGTAATGTGCTAATTTCTGAGTTAAATGAATTCGTTTAAGAGAACGCATCCAGTATGGGGTAGTGGAAGTATCTGGAACGGGTGCATCCTTTTTAGTGTATTCTGACGAATCACACACGCAATGCCTACACCCATTCTAATGTCATCTTCCACTTCTTACACTTCACTTTACAGTGCCTAACTAAATATTTCATGGAAGCTTAATATATTTCTCACTTCTTTTTTCCTTTTTTAAAGGTAAACTATTTTTCTGGCTTCATTTTTCATCCTATGAACTCATTTTTAAGTTCCAACATGACTTACCCACTCTAGTTTGCTGGATGCCGCCCGTGCCAGGAAGAACACCCTCTCGAGTTGCTTGAGAAATAGCTCCGTCATTAAGCTGGACACCTAGCCTCTTGGGAAATTGATTGACAAGGGCAGGTTGGATGCCACTCCATCCCTGAATTTGAGCTCCCATTCCTTCAGAATATAGGTTATTCCCCCAAGGATTCAGAACATTGACAAAAGATTGCTGACCTGAAGAAATTTGATTGTAGCAGAGTTAGGACCGCAGTAAGTCAACAACCAGCAGCTGAAGTAGACTAAGAGGCAATTTATAGAATCCATGAAGACAAGAGTAAAAGTATATAAGAGAAACTCAAAATAGCAGTGCATGTAGCCGTGAAATGAAAAAGGAGGATTCCTAATCAAACTCACATGTTGATAGCTCACATCCTCTCACCCAATTCATGAAAATTGGCTATAGAGTCATGTTTAGGCAGAACCAAGTTTATGACTTAAGAGGCCTATAGTTTGTCAACACGTCAGATCAACCATTTTAACAACTCATACACAGATATACTTAACTCTCCAAAAGGTAGTACTCTCAACTCTGTCAACTAACAATACAACCAAGAAACAGAGTGCACAATTACAGCTTTGTCAACCCCCCACTTCCATAGAAAAAGTTGACCACCACCTCTGTTTCAATTTATCTGTTTAACTTACATTTTAGTTTGTTTTAAAAAATAAAAAGTTATATGTAGCAAGTTCCATATTTCAACATGCCATTTTAGTCGTGACACTTCCTAATAGGAATGGTGTGACATATTTAAGACTACATGATTCAAAAGGTATTTTTGGTATGTTTCTACACACTTAATGATTGAAATGGAAAAGAATTAATGGAGTGTTATGTGATAGAAGAATGATTGCCAAAGTGAAAGGTAAGTTCATGGAACAAACAACCTATGCATACCACTAGATCTTTTAGTTCTTTACACACCGTTGCCATTTCTCATAGCCTTTTGTTCACACTGCATCACTAAGATATTTCCTCTTTATCAATATGTCTGAAAATGCAACTTAAAAGAATCATAACTTCTGTTGGAAGACAAGATTTTTCACATTCAAAGAAGCTAATTCTATCGGTCAAGTCAATTTTATTTGCAAACATTATTTAAAATGAGGTTAACAGACTCTCCATAGTCATGTTTGTTTGTTTAAGGGTCTACCATTTACCAGGACTGTCCTGGACACTGCCAACTCAGAACATAAATGGCAAGAAAAACAACAAACTGAGCTTGTTAGACACAGGAATATTTTTGGAATTCTGATACAGTAAGCACAAAACAATCAGTTCTCATTTTTGACATTAAAAAATTCAATCATACGCACATGTCAGCTGAGCTTGTGGTAAAGTACGAAATGGATAAATTGGTAAGTGGTAAATTCAGCAAACAGAAATAGAAATTCATACACACACCTAATTGGTCTTGCCTCACTCTGCCGCCACCATGACTGAGAATAGCAGGTCCCATGAAAGATTGATTCCTGACCATGTTTGTGTACAGGTTGCTCTGCTGATTAACAGTTGGTTGAGCTAATACCCTAAGCTGTTGAGCAGATCCAGGAGCTGCTGCCATTCTACCAAATCCAAGATGAGGGTGTAAAGTTGAATTGCTGCTAAATGGTATTGGAGGAGGAGGCAAACCACCTTGGGCATACATGAGAGGATCAGGTTCACAAAGTCTTTGATCAGCTTTACCAACAGCACCAAAATTTCTGGCATTAGATGAGTTGAGTCTCACATCTGGTGCATACATAAATGGAGGTGCACTGATTCTAGAGTCTGGAGCAAGCACACCCGAATTCAAGGCTGCTGAATTTGGGAAACCACCACTATCACACTGGAAATTTGTAATACCACCAGGAGCACCATGAATTAAACTTGGAGGATTTCTTCTTGTTTGTTGGATGTGAGAATTGTTATTTTGTGGTAAAGCAGCTTCCTCCAGTCTGCTGCTGACCTCTTTGCTGTTGAATCTAAGAATTGATCTATCCTCTATATTACTTCCCATTCCAAGGGTCAGAAAACTACCATCCATCCCTTGTGACTGAAAAGGAACATGATTGACGTTGGCATAATTTTGAAACCCTATTCCGCCAATACCTATAGCATTTTGCACATTATACCCTACGCCAAAAGGGCTTCCAGGCATTTGACTAATACCTGTTCCTTCCCCAGCCTTTTCAAAACATCCAGCTCCACTGCTTTGCATAGGCATAAAATTCATGCCAGCCCCAGGATTCTGGAAGCTCTTGGACAAGACACCTTCATTCATGAGTCTATTCAAGGTCGGTGTTTTGTTATTCGCATTTGAATGGTTTATCTCTGCATTATTTTTCATGCGATGTGACATTGCTGATGGACTGTGAAAGCTGGGTGAAATATTTCTTACATTCATCAAATTCGGTTGAAGATGGTGGCGATGTAAGGAATTGAGATTCATCAAATCAGCCACCTCAATCTCATTAACATTTCCTGGAAGAGGACGGACCGCAGGCAGAGATACAAAAGGAAACGATGTGACATTAGCCCCTGAACTGAACCCACCTTGGATAACACCATTATAATCAACAGCTCCACTTTGACTGACGCTGAGAGAAAGACCATTAACACTTGAATCTGGCAGGTTCTCTGTTTTGTCACCTCCCATTGAAAATCTTGAATCTGATCAATTAAATAAAATTAAGCTTAACATAAAGATATCTACTTCATAAACTAACGAATGAAAAAAGAGAAAGAAAAGCATAATAATTCTACTTAGATCCTCCTCTGGTCTCTTCTTTCCCTCATCAACACTTAGGTCTGGCAGGTTCTCTGTTTTGTCACATCCCATTGAAAATCTTGATCCTGATCAATTAAATAAAAATTTAGGCTTAACATAAAGATATCTACTTCATAAACTAGAGGAGATGACAAAGAGAAAGAAAAGCATAATAATTATACTTAAATCCTCCTCCAGTCTCTCCATGACTGAAGCTGATGTTGTAATTGCACATATAACAAAACAAAATCTAATCTATTCTAGAGATGAGACAATTAAGCAAACTTTTGGGGTGGGGGAGAGTTCCACCTTGAAAAGGTAATCTATTCTAGAGATGAGACAGTTAAGCAAACTTTTGGGGTGGGGGAGAGTTCCACCTTGAAAAGGTATGAAAGAACATAGTACTTCAGATAGAAAACCAACATCATAATCCTAAACAATTTCAAACAATCACATTTTCACCAGACTGGCACATCAATAGAACAAGAAGAACAGGCTGAGAATACACAAAAAATGAAATTACAACACACATTTCTATATGAAAGGCGGCAAAAAAGGGGACGCGCCAAATTCTTCGCGCCATTTTCATTTGTCAAAGGCCTATTAAAATCTCCTTTCATATACTTCCAAAATGAGATATACGATGACTTTCTCATATGCCGATCACCGAAACTAAAAGGTTAACTACTTAGAACAGTAGACTACACTTAATGTGATCCCACTAGGCCCAAATAAGCAAAACAAGGAAATCAAACCAACACAACAGAAAAAATCGCTACCCAGTAAACCCACAATCATCTCTAAAACAAGAACAGGCTGAGAATACACAAAAAATGAAATTACAACACACATTTCTATATGAAAGGCTGCAAAAAAGGGGATGCGCCAAATTCTTCGCGCCATTTTCATTTGTCAAGGCCTATTAAAATTTCCGTTCATATACTTCCAAAATGAGATATACGCAAAGACGACTTTCTCATACACCAATCACCAAAACTAAAAGGTTAACTACATAGAACAGTAGACTACACTTAATAGGATCCTATTATGCGCGCCAAATTCTTCGCGCCATTTTCATTTGTCAAGACTTATTAAAATCTCCTTTCATATACTTCCAAAATGAGATACGCAAAGATGACTTTCTCATATGCCGATCACCGAAACTAAAAGGTTCACTACTTAAGAGCAGTAGACTACACTTAATGTGATCCCACTAGGCCACAAATAAGCAAAACAAGGAAATCAAACCGACACAACAGAGATAATCGCTACCCAGTAAACACACAATCGTCTCTAAAACAAGAAGAACAGGCTGAGAATACACAAAAAAATGAAATTACAACACACATTTCTATATGAAAGGCTGCAAAAAGGGGACATGCCAAATTCTTCGCGCCATTTTCATATGTCAAGGCCTATTAAAATCTCCTTTCATATACTTCCAAAATAAGATATACGCAAAGACGACTTTCTCATACACAAAAGGTTAACTACTTAGAACAGTAGACTACACTTAATGTGATCCCACTATGCGCGCCAAATTCTTCGCGCCATTTTCGTTTAAAGGCCTATTAAAATCTCCTTTCATATACTTCCAATATGAGATATGCGCAAAGGCGACTTTCTCATACACCGATCACCGAAACTAAAAGGTTAACTACTTAGAACAGTAGACTACACGTAATGTGATCCCACTATGCGCGCCAAATTCTTCGCGCCATTTTCATTTAAAGGCATATTAAAATCTCCTTTCATATAATTCCAAAATAAGATATACGCAAAGACGACTTTCTCATACACCAATCACCGAAACTAAAAGGTTAACTACTTAGAACAGTAGACTACACTTAATGTGATCCCAATATGCGCGCCAAATCCTTCGCGCCATTTTCATTTAAAGGCCTATTAAAATCTCTTTTCATATACTTCCAATATGAGATATACGCAAAGGCAACTTTCTCATACACCGATCACCGAAACTAAAAGGTTAACTATTTAGAACAGTAAACTACACTTAATGTGATCCCACTATGCCCAAAATAAACAAAAACAAGGAAATCAAACCAACACAACAGAAAAAGAATTCTACCCAGTAAGCACAACAAACAATCGTCTCTATTCCCTACCCTTGTGTGTCATAAACCCTAAATGTCATTTCGCAGAAAACCTAGAAAATGGAGGAAAACCGATACCCCCACCATAAATTCCTCCTTGCGATTGTTACAAGAATCTAACAACGGAAAAGTTCAACAATCCAAACAGTACTACTCTGTCTATACCATCAAATATGATCAGAAAGAAAAGTATTCAAACCACATTAATTACACACCCAACCGAACCAATTTTATTAATTTTTTCAAAATTAAAACAAAAGATTTATTCAAGAACTTGCAGTTATACCAACGATAAAAGATTCAAATTAATGTATGAAGATTTAAATCTGTATGAATTCTCCGGCGGGTTCATAAGAATTCTTACCGGTGAAGAATCGTATCTGATCGGCAAAAAAATTTCAAAAGTGAAATTTTTTTAGAGAGAGAAAGAGAAAGGTTTTAGAGGGAGAGAGTGGTGGTGGTGGTAGGGTGTTGTAATGTGTGTGTGTTTTGGCGCTTCTAAGGGCTCTATAAAAGAGTTTTTAAAGGGTTCGGTGTGGGGCCATTTGTTTCTTTTTGCTCTATGACACGTGGACTTGAACTACTCAGATGACGTGGCATTAGTGATTCGGTGTGACCGTGTGATTCTACAATATGTTTACATCCCACCAATCGCGTCGCTTGGTGTCTGGGCTTTTTCGTCTTTTCGGGCTAATTAACGAGGGTAGTTTCGGAATTGGGGAAAATTGGAATATAATATAGCGTACTTAAAACGCACCAAGGCTAGAGCCGTTTAGAAGTCTGAAATAAATTAAAATAAGTGAACCGTTTTGACTAATTCTAGCAGATATATCCTTCAAATTAAAGTTGGTTAATGTAATTAACTTTGTGATTGTAATTTTAGAAGGAGACAAAAGGCAAAGGCATTTAATTTAAGTCTTTGGTAATGGTCCCACTTGACAATAGAAAAATTAATTATCCATTGCACCCCACAAGTGAAATTAAAAAAGAGGACAACATTTTACAAAGTTAATAATGTATTGTCAGCAATAAGATGTCACCACCCTCGTATCTATCTATCCCTACTACGTATGTTGTCAAGTCTTCGCTGCAAAGGATAATGGGGGTTGAGTGTATTGTCATAATTCAAAAAGTAAACTATAGTAGATACTATCTTGCTTTTTAAATTTGCATATATTTCATTTTCAACATACCCGGTGTGTCTGATCAGAGTAGGATGTATCTTATTATTGGTCTTTAATATATCCGACGTAATTCCAAAAGTGAGGCCTGAACAGATAGGATGTACCTTACATCTACCTCGTAGACTAATAGGCAAAGAAATAAGAACTTTAAAGGTGGAATTTATTTCAAAAGGAAAATAAAGAGAGAAATAGGAATCTAAACAACTCCTGAATTTGATACTAAACTATCAAGTGGATGTATAAAACTCTTCTCTCCACCAGTGAGAGACATGTTTCTCCTCAACACACGGAAAAAGGGTACGAATAATTCGAAGACCCCACAAAAATTAGGTCCCAATTCTGAAAATCCACGTAGAGATGGCAATAAATCAATAACACGACAAATAATAAGCATGGAAATAGTAAAAGCTATGTTGCAAAAGGAAAAAGGAATATTCACAAAGCATAAATACAAATCCATAATATTTAACTTAACGGACAGAATTTTTTTGAGATATTGCAAAATTATTCTTCTGTAGAAACTTCATTATCTCCTATTGAACGTCTTTTCACAATTAGTCAAAAGAAATTATCCTAAAAGAATGGATTATACTCTTTAAAAAGAACAAAGATTAGTGAATTTAAGTAGAGTTCAAAACTGGATATCACATTTCTATGCAGCTGAATAACAAAGGCCTAATTTTGTAGTATCATGAGCCTTCCACGGCTAATTCTCAGAAGCCAGACACTACTCTTCTTTTAGATGTTGCTGGCGGTTACAGAAGATAATGCAGCCCAAGGATGTCACAAGCCCCACGAGGTAACCAGCTATAGCTCCATAAGTCACACAAATAGGCCATTCCTACATGCAAATACCAATTGTCCGTGAATGAGAACAAACCACTTACTAAAGCATTTTCCAACCTCGTGCCGAGGTCTGCAAATTAGAAAAACGTGATCTTTCCCTCAAGAGCATAACCAAAATATGAAAGGTTCTTACACTCCACTTCTAAAACCTAGGAAATGAAAATGCATATGAAGAAATTAGCAATCAAGCTTCAATGGAACCAGTGAGTTGCTAATAATTGTAGCCTTTTAACTGGTAGGGGTGTGCGTTCAGTTTTTCGGTTTTTGGTTTTGTAAAAGTGTAACCCAATCCAATCCAAAATAAATTTGGTTTGGTTTTATGTCAATAATTAATAACATAACCAACGTAATAATATTGAATCTCTTAAATATACTTTATAATATAAATCATAAGTGAACTTAAAACAGAATACTTATAAGTATACCTATTATAGATGTTCAAACATAAAACATAAATGTAATCATCATGAAAGACAATAACCAAAAAATGACAAAAGTGGTTAACTCCAACTTAATTCTAAACCTAAGCATTATATATATATATATATAAAAAATTCGGTTTTTTCGGTTTTTATTTTTTTAAATCAGAAACCAAACAAGAAAACTAAACAAAGTAATCTATTAATCCAAAATCAATCCAAATAAAAATTCGGTTTGATTTGATTTGGTTATTCGGTTTAATCCGAATAGTGCACACCCCTAGCACCAGCTATCACCAGGTACATCTAAGATAATACTCCCTTCGTTTGAAAAAGAATGACCTCCTTTCCTTTTTAATCTGTTTCAAAAAGAATGACCCATTTCCTTTTTAGGCAACACTATAATTTCAGTTTTTCACATGGCATGTTTAAGGTGACAAGATTAAAGGACATTTTGGTATATTTGACATAACTTTAATTCAAGATCGCAAAATTGAAAAAACTTCTTTATTTTCTTAAACTCCCTGTGAAGTCAAACTAGACCATTCGTTTTTAGACGGAGGGAGTTACAGAAAATCACCAAGACTCACAAGAACTAAGATGCAACTTCATATAAACAAATGTATGAAACACTTCTGGTATAAAACTGCCTCTCCCTCTTTCATTTTTCACCTTAACGGCTACTGTTTCTATTCATCTGACACATAAAGGATGTAAGATTCGAGCGAGGAAAAACATAAAGGAAATTATGATGGAAGACGCATGCACGAAATAGCACTTTAGCTTTTTGTATCAGGATATAACAAGAGCTGTTTTATTTTACTTATACTCTTAGTGTGGAACATGGAGATCTTGTTAACAAAGTAGACTTAAGTGGTGCCCTTACTTGAGCAAAGAATTTTACAGATAGCAATGCAATCCGATCTTACCCCCAACAAAAAGGAGCCATATAATCGCCAACCTTTTTTCTTCTCTCCTTTTGATCACTTTATCTTTTGCATTAGTACTAGTATAGCAGGATATAATACTTCATTATGGTAAATGAACTATTAGTTTAGTTTCTTTAAGAAGAAATCATCTAGCAGATTCCCACCACCTCTCATTCACAGATATGGTTCACTTCGAAGTGTCCAGAGCAACACAAACAGGTTTCCAGCAGATGTGAGTGTCTTCCATAAGGACGACCTATACTAATCGGGCCACTGATGAGGTGGAAACAATCTACGAGGAAGTGCAAAAAACTGACAAGGTTTGCCTTGCCTTCTAGCAGCACTTGGTATCCTACTTTGATATGTACAAGGTTCATCAAGATTGTGTGAGGTGGCCCTACTTACCTTAAAAACAATCCAGAGAAGAATTTGTCAAAAGGGAATATAATATAAACAAGGTCATGCGGAGAAACTTTTATATGCCTTTCTATGGCAAGACTATCAAAAGATCATATCATGGACGATTGACGCTTAGTGAATGCAATTAATGCATTTGAAATTCAAATAATCTGCACCATGAAATGGACTACAATCTCTCATATTGTGAACCTCGAGTCCTTGACAATCAGTTAACATACCTGCCATGGGCTTTCCCAATCAAGTGGCATTGGCCAAGCACCAAACCATGCTCCAATAACAGCTCCATGAGCAGGTAGACTGATCATATAGTCTGTGGACTCACTTGCTCTGCAAAACAAACATACTGAATAAGCTCTAGGATAGGTCTTAGATATAAATATCAAATGCCCATGGATTGAGGAAATGAAAATTACTTTGTTCTAGCAAATATTCGGTGCCAATCAGTCCATGATGAGCCAAAAACACAAGCCGCTGGTACAAACTGCCAAACCAATATTTGATAAATTTACGTATCCCCAGAAAAGATTTTTTTAAAAAAAGAAAGAAGAAGCTAAACCAACATAGAAGAAAAAATGAGCAAGGACAAAATACCAATGCTACATCTCATAAACGTGTGACCTAAGTGGTCAAAGTATCTTATCATTTCATCAGCTTTCTGAATACAATAACTCCCAGGATTCCCTACTGACTTTTCTTTTCTTAAACACATCGATCATATTTTCTGTAAGCATGAGATGAATCCATAAACTTTACTGTTGTAATCTTCTTGGTAGCTTATAAGCCTAAGAAATCTTTTCATGCAGTAAATGGCAAGTCCTAGCTGTTAAGACTTACAGTGAGTAGTGACATCAGAAGAGACCAATTAAAGGTCTTGGGGAAATACCTGTTATAATACAGGATCAAAGATTAGTTAGGATAAGAACTACTGCATTAGAGATGCTACAATAAAGAGAAAGTAACAGAAAACCATTATATGTTGCATTTACATAGTCCCAGTTGAGGTTGGATAGGGCAGCATAAAATGACTCCTATGTCATCTAAACAAAAACTCAAACTAATCTCAGGCTCTTTTGTGAAACATAGAGAGCCTTTAACATGTCTGCTGATCATCATAGGCAGATCTAGGATTTGAAATTTATGGGATCAAGTTCGAAATTCTACAACAGTTCATTTGTTATTGGGTTCAAAATCAATTATTTACACTTATTAAGTGAATTCTTAATACTTATACATGGTCCGAGCAAAAGCTACTAGGTTTGAATGAACCTATAACTCACACTCTACATCCGCTTTTGATGATCATGCAATAACATTGTCATTATCTATGTTCAATGATAGATCAGCTCTATTTTCCATCCAACCTCAACTGTGGCTTCATGTTTCAGTATCATTATTATAAAGGAATAAAAACACATATACAGGATTACATACTCGAAACCAACAGGTGCTCCTAATATAGTAGCTCCGAGTGCATTTACTGCGGCTCCTATAAACATTATATAAAATAGTTCATGAACAATACTATATGAATCTTAGACAAATGACATTAATAATATAGTTCCAATAACAGACTCTACTTACCGGCAGGAAGCGCCAGCAAGCCTCGTCCTACAGCTTTGACGTACTGTGAAAGCCACAAAAAAAACACGAATCAATTATAGTAACAAAATATG